TATTACAGGTGTCAGTTAGAGAGTATTACAGGTGTCAGTTAGAGAGTATTACAGGTGTCAGAGAGTATTACAGGTGTCAGTTAGAGAGTATTACAGGTGTCAGTTAGAGAGTATTACAGGTGTCAGTTAGAGAGTATTACAGGTGTCAGTTAGAGAGTATTACAGGTGTCAGTTAGAGAGTATTACAGGTGTCAGTTAGAGAGTATTACAGGTGTCAGTTAGAGAGTATTACAGGTGTCAGTTAGAGAGTATTACAGGTGTCAGTTAGAGAGTATTACAGGTGTCAGTTAGAGAGTATTACAGGTGTCAGTTAGAGAGTATTACAGGTGTCAGAGAGTATTACAGGTGTCAGTTAGAGAGTATTACAGGTGTCAGTTAGAGAGTATTACAGGTGTCAGTTAGAGAGTATTACAGGTGTCAGTTAGAGAGTATTACAGGTGTCAGTTAGAGAGTATTACAGGTGTCAGAGAGTATTACAGGTGTCAGTTAGAGAGTATTACAGGTGTCAGTTAGAGAGTATTACAGGTGTCAGTTAGAGAGTATTACAGGTGTCAGTTAGAGAGTATTACAGGTGTCAGTAAGAGAGTATTACAGGTGTCAGTTAGAGAGTATTACAGGTGTCAGAGAGTATTACAGGTGTCAGTTAGAGAGTATTACAGGTGTCAGTTAGAGAGTATAACAGGTGTCAGTTAGAGAGTATTACAGGTGTCAGTTAGAGAGTATTACAGGTGTCAGTAAGAGAGTATTACAGGTGTCAGTTAGAGAGTATTACAGGTGTCAGTTAGAGAGTATTACAGGTGTCAGTAAGAGAGTATTACAGGTGTCAGTTAGAGAGTATTACAGGTGTCAGTAAGAGAGTATTACAGGTGTCAGTTAGAGAGTATTACAGGTCAGTACGAGAGATCTGTAAAACATTCACAATCACCTTCCCTAACCCCACCCCACCCCTATTACCTATATATAAATATCCTAGAAGCTGTAACACATATATAGACCGTGGGGTTTGGAATTACTGCCAGGTTCCTGTGTTAGTATTATTACAAGATTTGCTGTTTAAATCACATGTTCATACGTCTCTTTTTACCACGATATCATAAAGATATGTAAAAGGAATATCTAGATTTTTAATAAAGCAGAATATGGGCTATTTTAATAATAATATTCCTATGTAAATCTCGGGATTTTTATATAACAGAATATATACAATTTTAACAATAGAATTTACATATAAATCAGCTGATTTCTGATACAGTTTGTATATTAAAATGAAATAAATCATCACAAGATTTACAATTTTAATATCAAGATTAGATATAAAAAATCCCAATATAGATAAAACAAGCCTAAAGACCCTCGGCCATCATGTATATCAGCTCGTCCTACACAATGTCTACACGTATTGTACAAGTTAGTAATAGTCTTATAATAACAGAACAATATAAATGTCCAGATAAACACAGCTCACAACTAATCCCATCTTTAAAACTAAACTATCCTGACATTAATTTGAATGTTTAATATAAAGCAGATGTTGCGTTTTTTGTCACGTGATATGAAACCGACATCATTGTTAGTTTTGCTTTCGTTACACCATACCTAATTGTACACACACTTCGTCGACAGACCACCCTGACAACACCTCGTTACTAAGGTTTTATTACAGTAAATTTTACACGTGGAACTGTCGAGTACGTCGGGTTATCTAGATAACCCGGGTCGGGAATACAGTGGGTTATCTAATACCCGTCTGGCGCAGGGTATTTTGTGTATTACCGGGGTCTCTGATACATGGGTTATCTAATACAGGTCTAGTCCTTTGTGATTTACAAGGTTCGGCAATACAGTGGCTTATCTTGATACCCGCCTGATCAGGCGCATGAGTTTTCTTATATGTGTTTATTTTCCACAAGACATTTATGAAACGAGTCCAATAGTTGTTCATTCTTAAAGCCTCTACCGAGGTTAAATAAAAAAAATTCGTGTTGACATTCAGAAATCTCGTATGAAATCGAAATCACTGCTATTGGCGATTAAACACAGATACGATATTTTCAGACGAAATCAGAAAAATGGCATTTTCGTTGGACTGATATCAATTCTGACGGGTTGCTATATTAACACTTTATAGAGACTTGAGGTGACGTTGAATCAATATGACGTCATGAAGCTATGACGTCACATTTAAAACAATGGGACCATTCAGTCTGGTGTTATTTTAAGTTCAATCACAACAAAATGTATGGAATTGATGTCATTACATCTATGAAAGGACAGTTTTTAAACAAAAAAAACAACAACAAAATGTTTATGTATTGTTTATATATATATATATATATATATATATAATTATGGCGGAACTCGTCGCGCTCAAACATAAACGCCAGAGGCAGCTGGAGGTAGAGCTTGAAATTACGTGCTTACAGTAGTGTGGGGGATATAATCAGACATCAGCGGGGGACATCCTATTATTTTTCTCTTTATTGCCTCCAAAATGAAGAAAGAAGTAGAATATGTGTACAAAACATTCAGAATATCTATACACGATTACATAATACACAATACATTTATACCTTACATACACGTGTGTACATCAGGTTATAGAACAAAGTATTCACAATATCCGTAAAGATTCAATTTATTATAATGAGACTATTAAATCAACTTTTTAGTTAAATATATCTAAAGTTATTATTATCATTATGACATTCTTAACGGCCCGTCAACACAAACAATGTCATTTGGGTCATCAACCGGTAAAACACACAGCGATCCAAAAAGGAAATAACATCAAACAAACTAAAAGGTAAAAGACAAATGCTAAAAATTTAAAGTGGTTATTTTATCAGAAAAGGTTAAAATTGTAAGTCATAGTCTACAATACAGACCAACATCTTTCAGATAACCTAGATTTTTATTAATCTCAACAGCTTCAAAAAGGGATTTTAGACATGTAATGTTATGATAAAAAAAATTCTCGAGTAGACAGACAATGCAGTCCAATAAAAAAAAAGTTTAACGGTGAATGGCTCATCACATCCTATGCGCCGAGGGTTATCTTCACCTTTCAACATGTGTGAATGTGTAAGGTATGTATGGCCTATCCGAAGACGGGCAAGGACAACTTCGTCTCGGTTGTCTTTATAGCATGGAGAACATTCAGCGATGATAGGTTTTACGGAGTGTAATTTATTGTTACTATATCGATTCCATTCCTCCTGCCACTGAGATGTTAAAGATTGTTTGATAAATGGTTTAAAATCAGTAAAATGAATTTTAAAAACAACAGGTGGTAGCAATAAAGCTTCCTTTGCGACACGATCTGCTTTTTCATTGCCTGGCATTCCCATGTGCCCAGGAACCCAGCAAAAAGCGATATGAAAGTTGAAACCAAGTTCATGATATAGTACTAAGGTATTACGAATGAAAATATTTTCGATATTGCCAAGACGTTGTAGTACAGAAAGAGAGCATGTGCATAGTACGAAGTACAGAAACATAACATCATACATAATTATGTAATGAGACAATAAAATCAACCTTGTACCCTTTTCTATAGTACAGGCATAATACATAGTACAGATACATTATAATGAGGCTATGACATCATCATTTACCACACTGCAGTATATTATACACACTGTAAATGTATTTTCCAGGATTTTCACAATATTTTGTTCAGGCGAGTCCAGAACACCATTTCCAAAAAATTGACGAGTCCAGTTATAGACATATAGTGAGTTCTCAAAAAATTTGAGCGAGTTTCACAAGAAAAGAACGTGTCAAGTACTCAAATATTTTAGCCCCGAAAATCACTGGTTTCTGTTCCTGATTCTGTCGTCTGTTATTACATTAATTACTTCGCTACATTGTAAGTACATTAAATTTATTGTAACGCTTGATTATACATTTTCACTAATACGGGAGCAACAGATTAACATCTATCCCGTCCCCACGTCTCACGTTCCACCCTACCCCCTCCCCCGTTATACTACTTTCGTAAGCGACTTCAAGAAAATGATTGGACTCTTGGCATGAAAATGTTTTGGGAAAAGACGTAATCGATATTTCTTACTAATAATACGCAAGAAAATTGTCAAAATAAAAATGTGTGAAAAAGTGAACTTTCATAAAGTACAGGTTTGAGGATATATACATGTCGGCTAATAATTTGGGATATCAATTAACGTCTCTCTGTACGAGGCTCAAACGATCACCTGAAATGACCAAATAATGCCAATGATTATAGCTATAAAAAAGAAAGAAAAAGAAAAATATTTAGAAATTCAAATTAAAAGTTTAACAAGCAAGTTCTGTATAAAATATAAGTCTGAAATCGATGCATGCATGCTCATTCCGATGATACGCATGAGTGGTCACCGAGTGTCAAGTGTAATCGGGATTATTTCGTCTCACTATGCGATATTTAGGCCTATGTGACATCCGCATCAGCACGTTCACTTTAAGATGTATCTACACCAACAATGGCAATGAACGATATAGGATAACTTAAATGATCGCCGATAACCTCCGGGTTCGATGACCGACCGAACAGCCCAATGTTGCCATTACGTTAGAGCAACTTTCTACATACATTGCTTGATTGGCATGCAATGTGCGCGAACAGCGACATCTAGCGGATGTCCGACCAAAGCACACAGACTTGCTCCAGTTATGAGTCCGTAAAAAGTAGTACCAAGTATAAACGATGAATGTTTGAATAACATATCTTATCGATAGATTCTTCATATATATTCAAATTCATTAAAAATATTTGCAGTTCATTCTTCCCTGATTAATCACAAGACAGCCAAAATAAAATTTCCCAGCGTAGGAAATAAAAATGCTAATCAGCCATTCGATAATGTATGTGACCTGCTAGCATTGATACAAAAGTTATTTTTGGAACTTTAGCCTGTACGGATGTTGACTATCCGAGAAGCAGTTTATTTAGGTCGACTAGGGTCTTTCTAGGGGAAGATACATGTATATGAGGTCAAGCTATGACAACCAATATGAAAGGTATGTATACTTATATAAGCTCATAGAAACTATGACTGAACATATCAGTACAAGAATTTCTTCAAAATTGTGGACGTGTGGCGAAGAAAAATGGCGCTAAATATGCGTAGCCATGTGTGTATATTCGTCTAAATAAATGCACTTTTTATGCATACACACATATGCAATTTTATTGTTCTGCTCGAAATGCAATTAAATAATTATTATTTTGTATGCATGTTGTAAACAGGTGGTATAATTAACTATCAGTTGTGGAAAAGCGTGAGATAAGAGTAGAGCCTCGACAATATTTCTCCTGTGGGGGCCCAAGCCAGCAGTCAGCTGGTTTTGCTAGCTTCGTAGAATACGGGGAAACGACACACCCCCTACAAAATACAGATTTACCTCATTCGTGGCACCGAAGTAAACCCATCTCTACACACAGATGGCATTTGATTGTTAATATAACAAAATTTTATAGCAGTTTTCTGCCCTACACCAAGGAAATGTTCGGTGAAGACGAATGTTTACAGAGTGTTGTAGCGGAGAAACCTGAACTTTGATATCTAGATTGGACGAGTCCATTTATCAAAACAGGGATGTAGCATTTAATTGATAGTTACGTTACCGTACAGCGAAACGATATTATCTAAAGCTTGTATTTTAAAGCACCCTTCACACTTTTGTAAATATGAATGAATCCTTGAATTTTAAATCGAGATATCGCATAAAAGCTGGAAACCAGATACGCTTTCTTTCATTTCTAGTTGTGTACAAAATTGCTATGGGTGTTGTTCAGGTCCTGTAATGAAATATTTTCCCTTAAGCAAAGAGGAAAAAATGAAGCTAAACTGGATATTTAAATTGTGAATGTACTGAGATATAATGCTTAGTCAGTAATCAAGTTTTAGAATAGACGATGATGGTGTTAAATAACTTTTCTTTATATACAGAACACATTGGTGTAATAAAACAGCCAAATAATTACGCTCACATAAATATGATATATATATGTAGTGCTAAATGGGTGTCATGTGGTTTTAAAAAAAACTTACAATGGTATAATGAACCTACCATGATAAAGAGTATTTTAGTCAGAATTTGACATATATGTCACATGCGTAAATGTACACATAATAGTACATGTCATCAGATATTCTGTCATTGCTGACTCAACTGTTGAAAGCCTATTATAATCACATGATTGTCATGCAGGGAAGCAATGCCACATACCTAAGATGACCTTTATATGACATAACTGCTCAGATGTTACAAGATTACTGATCTGTTACAGTTCATAAATATAGGGTAAACAAATCCTCTCATTCTGTAATAAATGGTGCATCATGGTAGAGTTTTGTCTTTCTGGTACAAAAATTACATTTAAAGGAAATCATTTCTGTTAGATCCTGATAAAATGTTAGTTGTAGATTTAAACCTTATATGTATATAGATCAATCGAACTAAGACAAATGATATTTAGCTTGGTCAATCAAACACTGACCCACTTTACATATTCAGGGATCAGTAAGGCCGATTAAAAGGTCCCATTCAAAATAGGATTTATTGCATAATATGGCCAAATTTTCAAAACAAAATTTTAATTTTACTCAATTGATCACTTTTCTTCTCAAATGAGATGAGATGAAAAGGCACATTACCATATGAGCCCTGATATTGACTCTCAATGTGTTTAAATTTGGTCAGCTTGACTGTCAGAATCTCGGTCACTGTATTCCTGTTCATGATCACTTGATGACCTATTTTAGAGTGAATAAAAAGTTGATCTAATATAGTGATATGTATATAGGTCAGTAAAACTTGATGTGTGACCCATTAACATATTTAGGACAGCCTAGGTCAGTTAAGATTTAGTCTGTTTGACCTAATTTACTTATCTAGGACAGTTAAACTTGTAATATATGAACTTTGACCTGTACTTGTTTTATATATCTTCTGATTCTGCATCAACATCCCAACATAGTGACATGGCTTTAAGATTATAAACTTAAAAATCAGACAGGCTGATAAAATCTGATATACTTCATCTTGTACAGCAGACAATGCTATTTAAGTAAGATTTAGTGATAATGCCGGTTAGTATTTTACACAATACTTACATATTACCTTGTACTTTTAAAAAAAATCAGAAAAATAACACCTGTTGATTAAGCTGTCCTGTATCAATTATTACTTATTATACCAAATAGGTAGGGTTGGGGGTATATAGTTGGCAATGGTATTGCGTGAAATTGTAACCAGTTTTATGAAAATTCAGATTTTTGAGAATCAAAATTCAGAGCCAGAGCTAGCCATGGTATGTAATATTGAGGCTGACAAACTAATTACTGTCATTTGACCAAAATACATCACAGGGAACAGATATTAAGGCATCTCCTACTCCACTCCCCCACTCACAACTCCCAACTCCAACTTTCTCACCTCCACTCCCCCACTTCAACCTTCCCACCTCTCAACTCCCCACCTCAATTCCCCATTCCAACCTTTCCACCTCTCAATTCCCCACTCCAACCTCCCCAACTGCCCACTCCCACCTCCCCACACCATCCTCTGCGAGTAATGGTGTATAGTTTGTATGCAATTATAAAAACGTGTTAATTGTATGTAAATGAATATTAAAAGCTAACATTCTATATTAATTTACAGCAAAGAAATCACCTCCCCAACTATAAAAAGATCTGTCTTAAGTCTGAAGTAAGAGGGGGGGTGTCTATCTATATGTATCTCCCTGTTCAAAAATGTCTGACATCTAAAATAAGTGTTGTGCATTTGTTTACAAATTTTGTTGATGAAGTTATGAAATAGTAAGTAAATAACCAGACGTCAGAAATGATATCAAGTTTATTAACCTATAGATTGATATTGGTTGAGAATCTTGAGAAGATACGTTTGCTTCCACTTGCAGCACTTAAAAACTTGTTATTTCAATTGATAGCATTTATATGTTTACCAGCGTCAATTTAACTGTGCACTTGCAATGAGATGTGTAACCCATTTAACATATAGACATTGCTTAATTGATGCCTCCACCGTGCATGTAATAGATTTGTAATTTGTTGTAGATATCATTTATCTTTGTTATTGTTTGTTGTAATCGTGTTTTCCTTTGTTCTTAATTCTCACTTCAGCTTGCACAACGTTATATAGATATAGGACACTGCCCTGTAATCTATGTAGGGAAATTCCTGGAAGCTGAGTGCAAATAGGTCATTTTCAGCAAATATTAACGTCAAAAACAAGACTGGCCACTCCATGTTTATTGATTGAAAAAAAAATGGAGTTGGTTAGATTCAGTTTTGGCCTCATGGCACTCTTCAGGATTATCTCTACATGTAAACATGAATAAATATGAAACATTTTTGAAAATTTGTCCCTACCTGTAAATTTGATATTTCCTACTAACCCAGGAATTAAAGCAGATGAAAAACTGCTGACTTTGTTTTGTAAAATAAAGGATTTAAAAAAACATTAACTTGTGAAATATATTGGCCTTTCATGATCATAAGCTCTCCATAGCATTGAGTCTGTACGTAAAATTTTCTTAAATCTAAATCCATTCACATATAAGAACTATATTTTGATGTATTGTACAGGGATAAGCTGCAACTAGAAATATGAAATGTGATTTTCAATACAATATTGTTTGAAAAAAAAAATGAAAAATAAACACATTTTAATTTCATATTTTCTGATATTTGTTTTTGAAATCCAAATTTTGAAAAAAATTGGTTTATCTGTTTATCATTATAGTTGTTTGGAAAAGCATGCAGTGATTTATCAAAATATTGTTAGTTTGTGGTAAAACTGTAAAATTGATATGAAAAAGAAAAAAATCAACTTTAGACAAACGCTGATAATTAATTTTTGTACCCTAGTCAAATTAAACTGGTAGTATTGAAAGTCAGTAATTAAGAATTGAGAGCAGAAAGATGTTGATTACCAGATAAGTTTAAAAAGTTTGTGAAATGAAAATAAAAAAGTCATTCACAAATCATGCACACCCCCAAGCAAATAAATTATAATAAGAAAACACTAACAACTGTTGTAGACCATTTAACATTTAATAACATTATTTTTCAGGCTAGATAAATTAATTCCGTCATTGTGATGAAATGAAAATAGAATTTCATTCTGATCTACCACCTTTGAAATATTGTATAGCCACTTAAGGCTGTATCCACCATTTTATCACACATTAATAGGGACATTGTAGAAATGACCACAATTTTTTCAGAGCTGAGCGGTCACACTGAACATATGTACAGTCCAGTTGCTAGTATGCAGCACGTCCCAGATTCGGCTTCAGGGGCTAAGTTGACGAATGAACGCAAAGGTAGGGCCCTTTAAATACAATGAAAAAAGGGCAGGTTTTGAGAGGTACGCATTGGAAATCATTTTATTTTTGGCCATGTCTGTTTTACCGATGATGTTTTGCAGTTGAGTTAGCCATTTGACATTCTTCAGGTTTGCTTTAGAATAAAAAGGGAGATAATCTTTTAGTAAAGGGGAGATAAAAATTGTTAATTATAAGGGAGATAATTTTTTTTCAGTTCTGTTTGATAAACAAGATTTAATAATGTTGCCAATTGTTTCAGCATTCAATATTTAAGATCATATACATTTTCGTGAGAATTTTCATGTAATGAGTAAATATGGAACGGGAAACAATGTATCTGAGTCATAGATTTTAAAGGGCAATATGAACCATAGTCAATAGAAAGATGAATAAGCATGACAACAAAATAACTTGTATGATCAGACTGATACGAAATATTACAGGCATAATAATATATTAAATAACAAAGAGCTCTATTGTTATAGCATTATGAAATCAGATTAGTTTTAATACATTTGTCATTCAGATGTCAAAAGCAAATATCTGTATATTGTGTTAATGAATTAAAGGTAGGAACATCATATGTTTATTCCAAATTATCTGTTCTCACAAGTGCTGTAATATTAATCAATGTCCTAATCACAGATAGAAATTTAATCATATTATATATTTACATATTTGCTTGTATTATCAACGCCTTTTTGCATTTTTTGTCTCGCATTTTACTGAAATAGTAATTTTTGAACGTGGTGGTTTTCCTTGGTCTGTAACACTTTTTATCACATGATTGTCATGGTGTTTAAAATATTGGCGGATTAACTCATGTAATCAAATGATAATGAAATATTGTCACACAATTTTAGATCATATGACGTCATAAAACAATGATTAAAGAGCCAAGACAGCTTCAAGAATGACATGGAAAAGCATATTTTCTTGAGAAAAAAAATTATCATGTGATAAAAAAGGTTTAAATATTCTTTATTTCTTGCAAGATTGATAGAATTAATTTCAATTTCATTAGAAGTCTATTTTGCAACATTTAGAAACATTCTTGTTTATCATTATTTCTAGTACGGTGAAATCATTATTTTTGTGAGGGTTTATTTTTGTTGGTATTGTGCTTTGACTTAATTCTCGATGCCATATGTCCACCGAATGGTAACTCGATAAAACTTGACACAAAGTACAGGTAGATATAGTAAGTAACATATATCCACAGAATTATGTTCTGACCAAAATGCATATTTCCTTAAAAATCAGGAAATATCAGTCTAACAAAAAAAAATGATAGAATCAGATTTTGATTATAAAAATGAAATTTCTGTCTTGCAAAAAAAAAAATTCTTGTAGTCTGTTTCTTGTGACAGATAAGATTTTGGTTATGAAAATGAAGTTTCTGTCGTGCAAAAAACAAAAGCAAAAATAGAAAACAAAATAAAAAAGTTAAGACAATTCTGTTAGACTGTGTCTTGCTTTTTGTGACCGACCTGTTCTATTTTCAATAAGAACATATTCAGAATTAACATCAAGCACCATTAGATTTTTTTTTGAGAAATATTGTTATTTCCTGTGGAGTTTCTTGTTGTCAATATTGGTTAACTAACATTGATGTGTCAGAGACCCTGAATACAATCTCACACTGGTTTCCAAACTTACTGCTCACAAAGCTTGTCCTTTTCAGTACATAAAACTAATGTTCAACTACAAGGTATTGTTTTATGGTAATCAAGTTTTCTTGTTTTCATTTCTATTAATAGTGATAAACAAGAAAAAATCTTTATGAACATATTTATATATATTTCTAACTATATGTGGCTGCAAACCATTGGGAGCCAAAACTTTGTTGTAATGTTATTGTTGTTAGTGGGGAATAATTTTAATAAAAACTTCACTAATTAATCTTCCGTTGTAGAATTTAGATGATGTTCATCCATATTGTAGCTCCATCTGTTTTAACAAATTATCTTTATTAAAAAAGTACAACTTGTGCAATCATTCTTTTAATACTATATCTTTAATACTTATTTCTCTGATACAGTAAGAATGGTTAAAACAAAGTTTGACATTTTAGGAATGGTTAAAACAAAGTTTGACATTTTAAGAATGGTTAAAACAAAGTTTGACATTTTTAGGAATGGTTAAAACAAAGTTTGACATTTTAAGAATGGTTAAAACAAAGTTTGACATTTTAAGAATGGTTAAAACAAAGTTTGACATTTTTAGAATGGTTGAAACAAAGTTTGACATTTTAAGAATGGTTAAAACAAAGTTTGACATTTTAAGAATGGTTAAAACAAAGTTTGACATTTTTAGAATGGTTAAAACAAAGTTTGACATTTTAAGAATGGTTAAAACAAAGTTTGACATTTTTAGAATGGTTGAAACAAAGTTTGACATTTTAAGAATGGTTAAAACAAAGTTTGACATTTTAAGAATGGTTAAAACAAAGTTTGACATTTTTAGAATGGTTGAAACAAAGTTTGACATTTTAAGAATGATTAAATCAAAGATCGACATTTCAAGAACAAAACAAAGTATGACATTTCAAGATTAATCAAAACAAAGTTTAAAAAATTTCGAGGTTTTAAGCTATTATTTAAGAACTTTCACCAGTCTAAACCCACAAAATTGTTCTATTCTGTTGACATTTGGTTTAGACAGGTGATGATGACACAGAAATATATTTATATATAAATACACAGCAATATCTTTATATAATGATATCATGTATTGAAGGTAAGTGAAAATGTGACAATCATCAAAAATATATATTTCTGAATGGAACAAGATGTTCTTAATTCCCAGAATATCAAATCAATGCATCAGTTTTCTGTTTAATTTTATATTCTTAGTCTATTCTTGTTCTACGTGGGTATTTGCTATGGTAACTTGTGTAGAGCTTTGAGATCAGCATGTATTATTGTTGTAAGTTGTAGTATACATATATATATATCTGTTTGTCTGTTTTAAGTTCCATTTACTGTTTGTTGTTCAAAACCTTTGCTTATATTTCTTGCCACCCTTCTATATACAGCTTGAAATTTTTGTCAGGGGTCCAGTTTCAGTATTAATAGAACCCATGAGATAGTGCCAACCCATGCGATGGTGCCTGTTATGGTCAAAATCACAGTTGTCTGCCCTTGAATAAATGAACTGTGGTTTACATTGGTTTTCTTTTTACTTTGCAGCCCAGATCGAGGTCATCCCTTGTAAGGTCTGTGGTGACAAGTCGTCTGGGGTTCACTATGGTGTTATCACTTGTGAAGGTTGTAAGGTAAGTCAGAGGAATTAGGGGGCATTGCTATAGGTGAAAACTTCCAGGTTTTATGATAAATTGAGTACTTATAGGGTAATGTTTCATATATAATTTTGAAGCATGTTGGGAGTTGTGGGATTTTGCCACAGGGATTTTGCCACATACAAATTGTAAGGCAAGTTTGTGTCAAACAGCAATATACCAAGTAAAATTTATAAAGCCAGTTGGAACTATCTGGCAATGTCACATGTAAAATTCTTTAAGAGAAGTGAAAGGAGCTTCGGGGCAATGTTATTTGTGAAAAGATTTTAAGAAATGATTTGATGATTTCAAGGCATTGCTACATTTAGAAATTGTGTAAATTTTCGGGTTTGTGGTGTTGTATGGTGAAGGTCAGTATTTTACTATGGCATGGATAAAAGTGTGAGATCTTGAATTTGAAACTCAATTAAGTTGAATTATAAGAATTAACCTTTGATTTTGATTTTTCAGGGATTTTTCAGACGAAGTCAGGCTGGTCCCGTAAATTACCAATGTCCTCGGAATAAAAACTGTGTCATTGATCGTGTTAACAGGAACCGTTGTCAGTACTGCCGACTACAGAAATGTATTGCCCTAGGAATGTCCAGGGATGGTGGGTATACACCATTTATAATTAAAGTTAACATTTCTTTCCAAAATCTGAGGAATCCCATCGCTAAGAAATGATATTGGTTCTTGGAATTTTTTGTGTGTATTTCCACAAACCCCAACACCAGATGTTTAATGGTTTGATCAACAGATTTCTGTCTTTTGATTTTTAAATTGCAACTGGTGAAACGAGATACGGATTCTCTGTCAATCTGTCTGTCTGTCTGTCTGACTGTCTGACCTGAGGTTTACTTTTAATCTCTCTACAATCACATTAAAGAACAACATTCTTTTGAAAATTATACTGTGATGATTTTGTTGCTCTGTGAAACAAATATTTTTATTGGTCAAATTTTTATTTTATCACCCTAAAATTAAAAAAAAAAAAATAGAAATGAAAACTGCTTCCTTTTGTAACATCACCTTTCATTTGCGAAGCAATGGTGTAAGACATAATCAAAGGAAAGAGGCTAGTGTAAAAAAAATGTTATTTGTTATTAAATCATCGAGATTTAATTTAGATATTTTTTTCAAGCAATATATGTGGAGTGCACTCAGTTTTTTGTATCAAAACTTAATAACACAAAAAAAGTGAAGAATGGTTCTATAATGTCCTTGTGTGTGATGTACTTGTATGCCATTTTTATTTCTAGGTATCATTTGTTGTGTTAGGTAGGTGACTTTGACCTGCCCTATGTCAGGACAAGGTTGTAGGTCCTAAGATAAGTAATCTTGATAAAAAGGTGAAAGGTTATATTTACGGTTGATAAACATTTCTATTGATCATGTGGATTGTAGAAAACCATTATAATTCAGTGTATGTTTATTAGGGATGTAAAAGACTTTTCACATTGAATCTTGACATCATAAGTTTCTACATGTCCACAGTCTAACCTGTGTATTTGTTAGAGAAAATTATATGATGCGATTTATATGCTGACCTATTTTTTCGTAAGCACAGACTCATGAAGCATCTCACCATGTGCTTCATGGTACTTCGTTTTTTTCTCCCACACTAGATCTAGACCCCTCCAACGTCTAATGCTTTCAAATAGTCTAACAGGATTGAATGATATCATTGTTTATGACCTGGGTCCCTTTCTAGTAATTGGTAGCTTCACCATTGAATAACATATATTGGAGACTTATCAAATCCGGGTCAGTTGTTGTAAAATGTCTTGCCCAAGGACACAACCATTACAGCATTGACTAGTGGGGTTCTCAGCTTCTTGAGAAACTAAGGTAGGTAGGCAAAGTTTAAATGGAACACAAAATATGTAACAATGCATTTTTTTTATTGTTGTGCTAAAGTATGTTTTTTCATTACCAGTTAACATGTCTAGTACTGCAGGCAGAGCAGATCCAAATTCGAAATGTCATAAGTGATCTGATGGGTTTTTTTTATCCAGTGTGTGAAGATAGCAAAATATTTCTATTGTGATAAAGAAGTTTATATGTATTAAAAAAAAATGGCGAAGTGTTAAAATTGATAATGTTTGGTTTTCTATTATCAATCCCACGATGAGATAAAAAGGTCAAAAATCAGACAATTTTAGATAAAAAAATTTGTTATCTAAGTTCATGTCTGTATGTACATCATATAAGGAACCATTGAACGACAAATTTGGGGCAAGTTGAGGAAAACACACTAACATTTCTTTATTTAATGCATAGAAGAAGAAAAAATGAAGTAGGAATACAGTACATATAAAAAAACAGTATTGTCCTGTAATATGTCATCTCATGACTTTGAGTAAGAAATAAAGTGTTGACCCCCTGGGGTTCTGTAATAAACCGACACTTTAACTTTGAGCATGGAGTAATGTGTTGGCAGGGCTCTGCCAGATTTGGGGCCGAATTCCTAATGCAAAATAGTATCTTTTTTTCCCAATTTAGACCCCAAGTTTTCCCAATTCTAAGGAAAATGTCGCTATTTTTCCCAATTCTAAGGGCCGCGGACCCCAGTCCCAAAATGGGGTGTGAGAGCCATGATGGCCATCTGAATACATTAAGTAAGAGAAATAGGCTTTCAAATAGAGATTAATTGAGTTAAGTAACTGAAGAAAGACTTTCTATAGTAGATAAAAATCACATGTACAAGACAGGAAGTATCACAAGTAGATAAAAGTCTGTAAGTTCTTCTCATCTTCTGTTTTTACTTTTCAGCGGTCAAGTTTGGCCGAATGTCAAAAAAGCAGAGGGAAAAAGTAGAAGATGAAGCTAATTTTGTAAAACAAAATAGAATAAATGGATATGGCCCGGCATCTCCAACCCAACTCATACCCTCGCCAAATAACAACAATCAATTTACAGGGTGAGTATATCAGACCCAACTCATACCCTCGCCAAATAACAACAATCAATTTACAGGGTAAGTATATCAGACTCCACTCATACCCTCGCCAAATAACAACAATCAATTTACAGGGTAAGTATATCAGACTCCACTCATACCCTCGCCAAATAACAACAATAAATTTACAGGGTGAGTATATCAGACCCAACTCATACCCTCGCCAAATAACAACAATCAATTTACAGGGTAAGTATATCAGACTCCACTCATACCCTCGCCAAATAACAACAATCAATTTACAGGGTGAGTATATCAGACCCAACTCATACCCTCGCCAAATAACAACAATCAATTTACAGGGTAAGTATATCAGACTCCACTCATACCCTCGCCAAATAACAACAATCAATTTACAGGGTAAGTATATCAGACTCCACTCATACCCTCGCCAAATAACAACAATCAATTTACAGGGTGAGTATATCAGACTCCACTCATACCCTCGCCAAATAACAACAATCAATTTACGGGGTGAGTATATCAGACCCAACTCATACCCTCGCCAAATAACAACAATCAATTTACGGGGTGAGTATATCAGACCCAACTCATACCCTCGCCAAATAACAACAATCAATTTACAGGGTGAGTATATCGGTCTCAACTCATATTCCCATCCTCAATACTTCAGGGTTTACAATCACTTTTGCTGTCTGCACCCCTAGATTATGTCATGGGAAAATTGAAGGCTCAATTGAAGTAATATGATTGGTTCAAGGAGGAAAAATATTGACCAATCAAAAGCTTATACCTCCTTGTGTAGATTACAAAGGAGTGACTCCTAACCTAATTTATTAAAATCAGTACAATAAAAATCATTACGCGACCTTGATATTTTTTTGATGTTTTTTCCATTGTCTGTAAAAATTTGGTTGTGAAAGTCTTCACCTCCTGAACCACTACATGAATAACAACCAAATGCTATCTGAAATATTAGTGAATAGTCATATGTTGTATATCTAAGTTTATGTGGTGCTGGAAACATTCCATAGCAAGAAGGAAAATGTTTTGTAGGCAAAAGAGGAAGTTTTGATTCTGCTTTAAAATCCTACTCTTCTGGAATAGTTGAGAAGAATGTGACCTCATTGGTTGAAAACCAAACTGGGGCTTAATGAACATATGTTGTATTGATAGAATCAATATTATCTCACTTGAGGACATTGGGGATGACACAAATGGATCAATGGGTGAAATTGGAACTTTTGAGATCTTAATCGCTGCAAAAGGATTGCATACACTGTTTTGTATCAAACAGTTGGCAAAGCTAAATTTAACATTTTTTAAAATTGTTCTCTGAATTTCACTCTGAAGATAATTGTTTATAAATCATTCTTGTTACTAATTAAAGTCCTTGTAATCAGATGCATGGCAATCCCTTTTAGCTTTTTGTATCAGTTTGAATCTATTTGTTTTCAGATACACAGATCCAAATTTCATGTATACAAATAACGGGTACACATACGCTCTCCCGTCACCGACCGAAACGCCACAGCCTGAAACCCCAGTGACCTCTGACCCCCCATCATACACGGTGGCGACAACATCTCCAACGACAACACAAGCTGCTCCTCATCCGGTGACGCTTATCAGGGCTATTGATCTCATGGATTCTGGTGAGTTGATATCAAGGACGTGGGCAGGGAATCTATCCTAGTTAGTTTCTGTGTGGATACTCTCAACAAGGGAGTGACTATTGCTTTTAAATTTGAGCTTGTCAAAGTCACATACCATCAGTGAAAGCGGTTCAGTAACATATAGATTCTCTTTTTGTATTAATTACTGTTGGTGGGATACAGGGTTGTTGTTACCAGATCATACTTATGTCTAGTAAAGGTCTTTGTAACATTAACCTTGAATTGATATTTTATCATTTTGCAGTTACATTTGGTAAAGCCATCATTGACGCACATGTACGAACATGCTTGTATAGTAAAGAACAGATTGATCTGGTGAAATCCAATCTCCCCACACTGGAAATACTAGAGGCCTTTAAGAATATGGTAAGTTTCAGAAATACTAGAGGTAATTGAGATTATGGTAAGTTTCAGAAATACTAGAGGCCATTAAGATTATGGCAAGTTTAAGAAATATTGAAGGCATTTAAGAATATGGAGTTTCAGAAATACGAAAGTGTTGTCTTTTAGACCCACAAAAGACAAGGATGGTAATTAAGGGGAAAAGAGGAACTTGGAAGTGAAATTAGAAATGAAAATAGTTAAAAGTTTTCATGTTTTTGTTAATAAATGATTAGGAAAAATGATCTTTTACTCTGGTGTGTTCAGGAATAATTTATTCCGTAACAGTCTCATTGGAGACTAACCCTTAATGGAGTTAAATTGATCTTGAACACATGATGTAAAGATACTATATCATTACTGAAATATTTGTGTTATTTAGTTCAAAGGAACTACCAGAACACAGCGAGGAAAAAAGATTATTTAGAATATAGTAACTTTTCTTCATGATATAAGAATGTGATGTTTCAGTTGTTGTTGTTGTTGTTGTTGTTGTAGACACATAAACAGTTGTGGGCTGAGGTGGCAGAGAAAATTACGATAGCTGTCCAGCAAATTATAGAGTTTGCCAAGATGGTGCCAGGATTTATGGATCTGTCACAGGATGACCAGATCATGTTATTAAAAGCAGGTACAAAGAGTGAGGAATATAATATACAATACAAACAACAGGTGGATAGATCTGTTGTGGAATGGATGATATAGAGTAATTGTTTACATATAAACTATTGTTGTATTTGTGGTTGTCGACAATCCAACCAATGTTAAAAGGTGGTGAAAAAAACATCAAGGATCATATGTGTGTAGAGATGTGATGTACATGTCTACAGAGATGTGGTGTACATGTCTACAGAGATGTGGTGTACATGTCTACAAGGATCAAATGTGTGTAGAGATGTGGTGTACATGTCTACAGAGATGTGGTGTACATGTCTATAGAGATGTTGTGTACATGTCTACAGAGATGTGGTGTACATGTCTACAGAGATGAGGTGTACATGGAAGTTTACATGTCTATAGAGATGTGGTGTACATGTCTACAGAGATGTGGTGTACATGTCTACAGAGATGTGGTGTATATGTCTACAGAGATGTGGTGTACATGGAAGTTTACATGTCTTCAGAGATGAGGTGTACATGGAAGTTTACATGTCTATAGAGATGTGGTGTACGTGTCTACAGAGATGTGGTGTACATGTCTACAGAGATGTGGTGTATATGTCTTCAGAGATGAGGTGTACATGGAAGTTTACATGTCTATAGAGATGTGGTGTACATGTCTATAGAGATGTGGTGTACATGTCTACAGAGATGTGGTGTACATGGAAGTTTACATGTCTATAGAGATGTGGTGTACATGTCTACAGAGATGTGGTGTACATGGAAGTTTACATGTCTACAGAGATGTGGTGTACATGTCTATAGAGATGTGGTGTACACAGAAGTTTACATATCTATAGAGATGTGGTGTACATGGAAGTTTACATATCTATAGAGATGTGGTGTACATGGAAGTTTACATGTCTATAGAGATATGGTGTACATGGAAGTTTTCACTTGAAATGATGTGCTAGTCTTTTAATTTCACAGACATGTCACAAATGTTGTATTCAGGACATTTTACTAGAACAGTCTATGTTTGTAGGTTATTCCCCTAATTTAAATATCATGTGGTTTTTTTCTACTTATTTTTCCTCCAATGACGAAATTATCATTATAGAAAGAATTTTTTTAATGAGTGTACAAAAAAGGGTATCCTACCTGTTCTACCCTAGGTCTGGTTTTGGACCTGCTCATTAAATCTTCATTCCTGTTAACTCGCTGTTGGCTTATCATGCCTTAATTGTCATTTTATATTATTACAATGTTTCAACATTATCTCAGATTGAGGGTACAAACTCCCTTCTCACCCCAATTGGATGAAATTCAAGACTTCTACCCCTACTTTTTCTAGGACTAAATTATATTAGTACATCGTTGAGAAAAAAGGAACTCCCAGTTTCACAATACATTGGGGTACACTGATATTAGATTGAGCACTGGAATTTCCTATTGTCAAATCTTTATCTCCTTTTCACAGCAAAATCTGTCGGACAGGTACATGTTCAGTTGTGTTTGATCTTGGTCAGTCGTGTTTACTGTGCTGTCCCTTGTGTAAGCACATTACCTTTGACTTGAGGGGTGGGCTTATTACAGGACACTGAAATAGTATTTGTTGGAAAGTATAAGTATGTACATCTTTCTGTGTTTACCTTTGATAAGCTGAAAGATGTTGGCTATATAATAGATTATGACGTACCATTTTAATCTTTTGTGTTAACATACCCATTTAAGATTTTTAACATTTGTCTTTTACCTTTTGGTTTGTTTAATGTTATTTCCTTTTGGATCGTTGTGTTTTACTGGTTGATGGCCCTAATGACCTTTTGAGTTGACGGATCGTTAAGAATGCGATGATAATAATAAAACCTTTGATAAGATCTTTGTATTTTGCTCTAATTGACCTTGTTTATTATGACTTACCTTTGACATTTCAGGGAGTTTTGAGCTGGGATTAATACGATGTTGCAGAGTGTTTGACGTTGTCAGGAATAGTGTAGTATTTGGAAACACTCTCTTACCACTAGAGGCCTTTGATGGTTTTAGTAAGTATACTCTAACTTATTAGTCTTATTTTCCATTGCCAATGAATGTAGGCCACCCTTTTTGTACACACTCGGTACGACAAATATATGGGCCACATTTCTAAGAGGATTTTTTGTAATGATATTGCCAAATTCACCCGAAAAAATTCCTTTCTATATAACATTTTTTTCCCAAAATGAGAAAAAATGCTCATTCCCATACAACAGGGAAAAAAGCAGAGGCACTCGCAATCCAGGGCAGATTTCAGGGAGTTTTAACATCACAGACCGTCCTGTGCTTTCCTGGGAAAAATGATCATTTAGGTCATCAATAGTGTCTCTGATATCATCCTGTATTAGAGACCTTGATGCCTTTTATGTTGTTATAATTATATATGTTGATAATAATATATTTAACATGACAAGCTGAAAACTAGGGATTCATCAAACAAGTTTTGACAGAACCAAAAACCATTAAACAGAAATATTCCTGGTCATTGACAAATATATAAATAGATTTTAGTTCAGTGTGCCATTGGTACAGGGTGTCACATATTTAGATCAACATCGTTATCAAAATGTTTGTTTTATATTTTTTCAGTCATACTCATTAGAGAAAGTTAATTATCTCTTATCTTGATTTTCAGATGAGGAGGAAACCCATTTAAGAGACAATATTTTTGAATTTGTGAAGTCACTGATGACGTTAAATCTTACAGAAACGGAGTTAGCTCTCTTTAGTGCTGTCATGCTAATTCGCCCAGGTAAGATACCTCCTTTCATATACTGATTCACCCAGGTACCATACCTTCTTTCATATACTGATTCACCCGGGTACAATACCTCCTTTCATTTACTGATTCGCTCAGGTAAGATACCTCCCTTCATATACTGATTCACCCAGGTAAGATACCTCCCTTCATGTAACTGATTCACCCAGGTAAGATATTTCCCTTCATATACTGATTCACCCAGGTAAGATACCTCCCTTCATATACTGATTCACCAGGTAAGATACCTCCCTTCATGTAACTGATTCACCCAGGTAAGATACCTCCCTTCATATACTGATTCACCCAGGTTAGATACCTCCCTTCATTTACTGATTCACCCAGGTAAGATACCTCCCTCCATGTAACTGATTCACCCAGGTAAGATATCTCCCTTCATATACTGATTCACACAGGTAAGATACCTCCCTTCATATACTGATTCACCCAGGTTAGATACCTCCCTTTATTTACTGATTCACCCAGGTAAGATACCTCCCTCCATGTAACTGATTCACCCAGGTAAGATACCTCCTTTCATTTACTGATTCACTCAGGTAAGATACCTCCCTTCATGTACTGATTCACCCAGGTAAGATACCTCCCTTTATATACTGATTCACCCAGGTAAGAAAACTCCCTTCATTTACTGATTCACCCAGGTAAGATACCTCCCTTTATATACTGATTCACCCAGGTAAGATACCTCCCTTCATGTAACTGATTCACCCAGGTAAGATACCTCCCTTTATATACTGATTCACCCAGGTAAGATACCTCCCTTTATATACTGATTCACCCAGGTAAGATTACTTCCTTCATGTAACTGATTCACCCAGGTAAGATACCTCCCTTTATATACTGATTCACCCAGGTAAGATTACTTCCTTCATGTAACTGATTCACCCAGGTAAGAAATCTCCCTTCATATACTGATTCACCCAGGTAAGATACCTCCCTTCATATACTGATTCACCCAGGTTAGATACCTCCCTTCATTTACTGATTCACCCAGGTAAGATTACTCCCTTCATATACTGATTCACCAGGTAAGATACCTCCCTTCATGTAACTGATTCACCCAGGTAAGATATTTCCCTTCATATACTGATTCACCCAGGTAAGATACCTCCCTACATTTACTGATTCACCCAGGTAAGATATCTCCCTTCATTTACTGATTCACCCAGGTAAGATACCTCCCTCCATGTAACTGATTCACCCAGGTAAGATATCTCCCTTCATTCACTGATTCACCCAGGTAAGATACCTCCCTTTATATACTGATTCACACAGGTAAGATACCTCCCTTCATGTAACTGATTCACCCAGGTAAGATACCTCCCTTCATGTAACTGATTCACCCAGGTAAGATACCTCCCTTTATGTAACTGATTCACCCAGGTAAGATACCTCCCTTCATTTACTGATTCACACAGGTAAGATACCTCCCTTTATATACTGATTCACACAGGTAAGATACCTCCCTTCATATACTGATTCACCCAGGTAAGATACCTCCCTTCATATACTGATTCACCCAGGTAAGATATCTCCCTTCATTTACTGATTCACCCAGGTAAGATACCTCCCTTCATATACTGATTCACCCAGGTAAGATACCTCCCTTCATATACTGATTCACCCAGGTTAGATACCTCCCTTCATTTACTGATTCACCCAGGTAAGATATCTCCCTTCATGTAACTGATTCACCCAGGTAAGATATCTCCCTTCATGTAACTGATTCACCCAGGTGAGATACCTCCCTTTATATACTGATTACCCAGGTGAGATACCTCCCTTTATATACTGATTACCCAGGTAAGATACCTCCCTACATATACAGTTTCACTGGGTAGATTATCTCTTCTTCCAGTTTGTGATACAGCATTGCATCATATTAGTGAGCTCCATCTATTGCCATCATGCTGTTTTGTGCTCACAAATGTAATGAGAAAATGTTTGACTGTCATGGTACATATATGATATACACAATTATGAAACAAAATAAAAAATAAAAAAAAAAACGAGACTGATAAAGATTTATATTTTATTGGATGAAAAACTACAAACGAAAATCATCTTACTTCCAGATCGGCCTGGACTAAAGGAATTACCTGACATTCAAAAACTTTATGAAAAGGCGTTGGCTGCACTTAAAATGGAGATTGGAAAGAGTCATACAGAGGATGGGGAGCTGCTGAATAAGCTTATGATACATGCTTTCTCACTTCAAAATCTAAGTGCCCAACATATTGTGCTATTGAATAAGTTCAAACAGTCAGCTCCGGAAGTGGAGTTTCCTGCCCTTCACAAGGAACTCTTCAGTGTCGAAGGGTTAGATAATTCCTGAATTGTGCTAGCATGCCACCACTTTGTTCTGTTTAAACACTGCAGGGAGAACGTGAAAGTTTTTTAAGTATTGTTTGGAACTTACAGAAAAAGAGACAATGTGCATCATTGCGGTAGAAGTCTTGTTTTCATTTGTTGTGGAAAAGATTTTGAAAAACAGCATGGAGGATATCGCTGTTTGCTGAAAGATTTCCTATGTATTCATGAGGCCTGAATCACTTCATCATGTTGCATTCAATGTATTTGTAGAAGTACATTATATATATATATACGTTTGTTTATGTACAGGTTTCTTTTAAATGGTATCAGTTGTTTTACCCTATCAATCCGTACACCTTAAAACCTGAATTTTTGTTTTAAAGGGGAAACAGATTTATTTCCATCCTCCAAATGAAATTTTTTGATGTGCTCGATTCCAAGAATGTTCTCATCATTTTTTTAATAAGTCATGTGTTAATGCTAAACATCATTTTAATGTGAAATTCCAACAAAATTCACCCCGTTTACAAAACATCTGCTGACAGTTTAGATGTATGAGTAAGTCATGTGATTCCAACGTTTCTGGTTGGTATACAGATTCGGTATACCTTTTCAAAAGTTAAATACTTGTTTTTCAAATCTTGCCTATTAAAATAAGAAATTGAAAAATAATAGATAAATAAGGATAAGCCAGTTACAAACAACAATACTGTATAGAATTCCTTTCTTCATGGTTGGGTTAAAAACATTTAAAAATCTTGATACTGGAATAATGATGAGGCCACTGCTTTCAGTTATAGAGAGATTTTACAATTTATTGGAATATCTCAAACCTCAGTTTAAACCCTACATACCCCTATTGAAATATTCAACAAGTTTTCAGTTGAGTTTGTGATTTTTAAAGTTTTATTTTACAAGTTCAATCTTCAGTGTTCAAAAACGTTTTACATTGAAAAAGGTAATGTAAGCACATTGTCATTTTCAGTTTATTTTTTTATAGGTGAAGGAAGTTTGTATATGAAATATTTGAGCTTTGAATTCCGTAAATGAAAAATTAAAAAAAACAATGTGTATTTGACAATTGGAAATGTCTCCTGTGTTGAACATGTGGAATATGACCCTTGTTTTACAGGGAGGTCATAGTCTACACTGATGATATACCTCTGATTATACGATGTGAGTTCACAGTCAACATCAGGATATCTCAATTATTACTATTATAGATTATGTCAGTGATAAGTCAGTTTTGTTATGTGGTAAACATTCAGCTGTTTTCATTCATCTGTATTACTCAAATGTCAATATATCTTCAGAAATTCTGAGCTTGAGGTAAAGACTTTATTCTAAAAATCACCTGAGCTTGAGGTAAAGACTTTATTCTAAAAATCACTTGAGCTTGAGGTAAAGACTTTATTCTAAAAATCACCTGAGCTTGAGGTAAAGACTTTATTCTAAAAATCACCTGAGCTTGAGGTAAAGACTTTATTCTAAAAATCACCTGAGCTTGAGGTAAAGACTTTACTCTAAAAATCACCTGAGCTTGAGGTAAAGACTTTATTCTAAAAATCACCTGAGCTTGAGGTAAAGACTTTATTCTAAAAATCACCTGAGCTTGAGGTAAAGACTTTACTCTAAAAATCACCTGAGCTTGAGGTAAAGACTTTATTCTAAAAATCACCTGAGCTTGAGGTAAAGACTTTATTCTAAAAATCACCTGAGCTTGAGGTAAAGATCTTTCCCAAAAATCGCCAAATTTGATCTGAAGATCTTCAGGATTTGATCGCCTCAGCCTGAGGTACAGTTAAAGAGAGAAACCCTTAATAGAAACAAAAACATGTCAAATAAGATTAAAATCACTGGCTTTTAAATTAAAAAATATGTGAATCCTTCACGGTTTTGGGTGTTAAATCTGTAGGTTAAATGTTTCCTCAATTTATTTTTCTTTTCAAGATTATCTACATGCATAACAGATCATTGAATTTTTCTATAAGAAAATTAACATTTTAAATGAAATTATTGTTAGAAAAATCTCATAATTTTGTATTGTCTAATGAATTTGGTATACGTTAGGATATAACAGACATTTAACATTGAGCCATGCTGTATATATACAAGACCTTGCTATTTTTTGTGATGTACACTGCTTAAACTTTGTGTTGAAGTCTGCAGGGATTTATTACATTGTTTAGTCATTTTGTTATGTTATATTTTTTTTTTCTTTTGCATTTTTTTCCCCATTTTGTTTTAACTTTGAATCAGAGTTTCAAGTTCCTTGATACCATATGAGACACACTTTAAATCTGTAATTTGATGAAAGGTGAAACAGTGGCCATATTTTCATTGTTTTCTTTTGAAAAAAAAACATCTGGAAAAACAATTTGTGGTAATATATCTAAATAATATAAAAGGATTTATTTGTTTCGCTTTTTGACATTGATGAAAAGAATCGCACAAAATTAATAATTTGAAAATAGAATTTTATAAAGGAGATTGTACTTCTACATTACATAATTTCTGCTAAAAATGCATTTTGTTTTAGACTACTTTATAAATTTATGAATATTAAGCTTTGGAAAATAACTTTTCAATATATGCCTGTCATTTTTCAGAGATATATGACTATGGTGACATTTTAAGATAATCACTGTTCATTTCAATAAATATTTAAATGTGTTCTGATGTAACCCATATCTAAATAATTTAAAAGTATCAGACATGTTTTCAAAGATGTTTCGAATCAACATCTATTATTTTTGTAAAATAGCTGGACACTTATAGTTCGGTGTATGGCCATCAGAATTCTCAAGAGTACTGATGACGTAGATACAACTGGACAAATAATTTGTCCTCTTGTTGGAACAAGTCTATTTTACATAAATTTACCATTCAGATAAGTCATTTGACCTCTGAAATTGCCAAACGTCGGAGATAACGTAAAGTCCAGAATTACAACCTCTGGTTAAGTTTGAAAACCTAAAACTTATCTTGTTAGTGAAAAAACAGGATTTTGTTTTTTTTTTAAAACAAATTTCATTTAGTTATGAATGAAATGTGTGTTCATGTAATCACAGAGAGTATTATTGTTCATATCCATCTATATGTATGCCCTGAAGACTTACCTTTTGAAAGTAAACAATGAAAGTTGACACTGAGTCTGTTTGGTCAGACTGTAACACTACTGTTATATTGTTACTTGTATAATACCCCATTGTCTGGTGTAAAACCTCTCCTGGTTTATGTTTTTCAGGATCAGATAATTATCAAAAGTTCATTCGTCTCATTAGGTACAACTGCTGTTTTTCTCCAGCATTTGATCAACGAAGTCAGCTTTTACAGAAGACATTGCCAGTATTCACAGAAAAATGTTTAAAAAAAGAAAAAAACAAAGAAAAAATATTATTCATCAATTTGTTTCAAGGAAAAAATTTGTTTGTTAGAAAAGAAGTTTAGAAATGTAAATGCTCTTCAAAATATTTGTTTTTATGTAGAAAATTGAGAATTATTTGAAAATACTAGTTATATTGAAGAAAAAAAAATATTCTCTCAGACCTTAATGTAAACAATGGACGTGGTAATATAGTGAAATAAACACAGGAGGTGATAAAGTGAAATATTGATTCCAAGCTGGAATATTGATTACAAACAGAAATATTGATCTCCAGCAGTTGTACCCGATGATAGAAAATTGATGAAAATCTGTTTGATAATTTTTTTTTCCTCCTAGACACTGATTCATGAAAAGAGTGTGTACAGATTATAATTTTGCCTCAGTTAAAATGAGTAGGTAGACCTGCTAGCAAATATGTATGTAAATACCCAGTTATATATATAGTGTAGAATACTAAAGAATCTATACCATCACATGTTGTGTATATAATATATATATATATATATATAAAGTAAGAAAGTGGCACAGGATTTTATCGGTACAGATATATCTCAAGTGATAGTGTTAGTGTGAATCTTTGTTGATTCCTTTACGTAATCTATAAATAGTTTATATGTTAACAGCTGTATAATCCATAACACCAATGTTATTGATGCGTCGATAAAAATAAGTTTAATTTTTAAGTTAAACCGACATTTTTGAAATCTAGATATTTAATCTTCTGTCATATACATTGATAATACATAGAATTTGTTTCTGTAAGTCATTTCTGATAGGTCTGTTGTCACGGATGAAATTCAATGGTCTTCATTGTATTACTGACCAAATTATTACATTGATAACTAAACACATCTCTAAGACACTACACAGAATTATAAACATAAAGATGTTTGCAGGTGATTAAATTTGATTTATATTTCTTATCTTTTTATGATTTTAATTTCAAAAAAAGTAAATTTCTTATAATTTTTTCTGATGGGCAAAAATTTTGTTACCATAGTATTTTGAATTGTGAAATTTGCTCAACTTTATCAAATTTGTTTCCAAGAATTTGTTTCTAGGGATATGTTGTGGAACTGAAAGTTATTTACAGATTGTCAAAAATCAGTGAAATAAATGGAATAATTTTAAATGCTGGAAATAAACAGTAGCTCTTCATCAATAGACTACTTATTCCAAGACATTAGATCTATTCTCAATGAATATCCATCACTGGAACATTTGTATACATGCCAATCTCATTAGCAACAATCAAATTTTAAATGTTGTGATTTGTAATAGTGTAGGTGTACTAGGCCATTAGTTTCAATAAATAAGCTACACAGCGGTCATTTTTTTTAACAAAGTTTTGACAAAATTATGGAATAATAGCGTTGACTATCTGTACTACAAAACATCCTAGTTATCTAGTTATATCTGGATGTTTTACTTGTACCACTTCTACTCAGAAATTTAGAATTCAGGATAAAACAGCTTTGAATTCGGTCAGCTTTAAATTTGAAAAAAAAAATTTTTTTGCATTTAGATTTCAAGCTGACATGAAACCAGAGATTTGATAACGGTTATCTGATTCCCCATTGTATCAATTAATTAATGTATCAACATAACTGCCATCTAACTGTAGTGCTATCTTT